CTGTAATATAATTAAAATATTTTAATCATGACATTATTAATCTCATTATTATCGAATTATCGAATAAGAATAATCCTCGTCGTATGGAAACTCTCGAAATATACCGAATGCGCAATGCATTTTTTTTATCCCATCATTCTTTAGCAAGGTGCATAATTACAGGAAGTTTGACAGGCTTCCGTTTCCGATGATACCGACCTTGTCGAGAAAGCGCGATTGTCCGCTCACTGTTCGAGCATCTTCGAACCACCACCACCGTCTACATCCACACCAATCCCTTCTTCGTTCGCCCCCTTCGCTCCGAGATTAAGGGACGTTCGCGCTTCGTCCGTCAGTACGGTGCATTCGAGATACGACGCTCGGATCGACAGCCAGCGATTACCAGCAATCTCGGGGTGCGCACCGGGCGGCCGCGCGAATCGTTCGCTGGCGATCGCGTAACTGACCGAGAGCCGAGGGGAGAGATTCCGTCTATCCTGATGGCCCGGGCTCCTGGCCTGACTTGCGCCCCTCGCATCGAAGCGCAACATGTGGTAAACCGTGGGAAGGTAACAGACACACATACACACACACACGTCCTAGGCGTAGGTGAAGGCACGAGCGTGTACCTCCGATAAGTACGTACGTACATGGTACGTACCCCTCCCCCCTACCCCCTCGCGACATCCCGCGCTCTGCCCTGCGCTACCCTGCGACACCCCGCGTTACCCCGCGACATCCCTAGCACCGCCAACGACCGCTCTCTCTGTGGGGTTGTGCATGCGCGCGCGCGCGCGCGCACGACACGCACGCACGTACACCGTTCATTTGCGCGAGCGCATAGGTATACCTTAAAAAATCTGCGATACAGTTTTTAGCCGAGCTATTCGAGTTCGACGTTCGAGTTTTTTTTCCCCGACACTTGGGTAGTTTTTTTTTTTTTTTTTTTTTTTAAATTCTTCGAGCACTTCGGAACCGATAGGTCGACGGCCCGCGCGGATCGAACGACACGTGTAACTTTCATCTCGCACAATAAACGGGAGATTTCTAATAATCTCTCTCAGCGCGGAACTGTTTGTTACTTAAATTATTATTTAAAGAAGTTCAAGAGAGGAATATATATCAATTTGCATATAATTGTATATGATCGAAATGGATGGGCTACTACATTTTTGGAAGAAAATTTGAATATTGAATTGAACGAAGATCGACGGCGAGGCTTACGTTGCCAAGTTAAAACAGAATTTCATCATACATACGAGTACGTGACACTGATGGATCACTGTAGGGACTTCCTTCTCTTAACGCAAATGTGGCGTATCCGTTATATTTCGTTTACGTCGAGACGGCGCCTATCCGACCAAACATTTTCGCTTGTCAAAGAATGCGTCCTGTGTCGAACATATTTTCGTTCGCTTCATTCCGCACAGCGTTTTACGACACGCGTTACGGCTATACGCTTTGACGCTTTGGCTCGGAGCTTACCTTATCTTTTCAAGGTCGTAACGTTGGAAAGAACGCGAGAGAACGCGTTCCTTTGTAGCCGGGAAAATCCGGGATTTTCCCATTTTACGTTCTTTTCTAAAGCGTCGTGAAACCTGGATTTTTATCTGTCACATGTTACATATAGAACAAATCTATATATATTATACATATATGAAAATAAGAAATGATTTTGCTAAAAATGATCTACAAATTCAGAATGTAGATCTAAAAATAATTTTATTCGAACACATCAAATAAAAAACTAATTCTGCAGAGTACTCTTAAACGTTGACGGACAGTGTTGCAAAAAGTTTTAATTTCTAACAATCAGCTCGAGCTGATATATAATTATTTTCATCAAATTTTCTTCCAGACGAAATTATTTTCAAATCTGCGTCCAAGTAAATTTTTTTCAAATATTTCAGCAAAACCGTTCTTCCTGTATGTGTACAGAATGCTAACAAGAGTAATTTGAAAACGTGAAAAAATATTTCACCGTGGTAAAGATCGGCACTTTTTTTGTTGATAGAAAAACCATTCGTGCGCTGCACCATGCCGTGCCGCATCGAAGTCTATATTGAATAAAACGTTGCAGCAGGTCAGTTTGATGGTATTGTATAACGCGCTCATACCGAAGAGGGTCGATGACTGTATTCGCGTGCTAGTCCTTCATGAACAGGCCGCGCAATCTGCAAGCGCTCCCGATATAGATCTTCGTCACAAAAAAGTTCATGGAGGCGGGCTCGGTTTTAACCAGCCACTAAGTTATTTTCAATCTTAACATATAGAACTCTCAGCGTTGATAACATCGAAATTGGTCGCTGCATCGAGAAACTGGCGTGAGGCTATATTATATCTTATTACATCTATTACAGTTACGCCGAAGTTATTTCACAGCTTTTTCACAAGTTAAACGGTAAACTTTTCCTAGATACGTGTAGGTATCTGCTGAATAAAACTCAATATTCCTTCGGTCTTACGGTCTCTCATGCGGTAATCAGGACGTTCGGGTTAATCAAGAACGATGGCAATCGGTAGCTAGCGTTGTTATCCCTAGAAATGGATGTTTATCCATCGGCTCGTCGCCTCGTACGTCGTACTCGAAGAGTGATGCATTGTCATCACGTCGTATAATACGTCGAATTAAAAAAAGAAAGAAAGAGAGAGAGAGAGAGAGAGAGAGAGAGAGATTTTGAAGAAACCGTCACAGTTGAGCTGCACAGACCGCGGTCTAAGAATACCACCTTCGACTACTTCGCGATTATAAAGCTGCGACCTAATTTTAAAAGCTGCGTTTCCGAAGCGGCCGCGTCGCGCCGAGGCGATACCGGCGCACGGTTAAGTCCGTGCGTCTCCGTACTTTGCGGAGGGATTAACGCTGGGAAGCGATAAGGTAAACGCCTGTAGTAATTCCGCTTCGTCTACCTCGCGCTTGTCAATCTGATGCTTTTTATAGGCTCTCTCGCGCCGCAACGCCTCTTCGAAATTAAAAGCTCCCGCGATGTAATAAAATAAAATATTGATTCGAAATACGTCGTTTTATAATCTCCCTCGATCATGCGTCATCTTTTCCGCGTTACGTCAGGTAAAAAGAAATATTTAGTCGCAGTAGCGTTTTCTCCCGTCTATTATTTTCAACTATCTCTATTGAGGAGGGCTCTCAAACGTACGGATAATACATTTTCAATATACATCCCGCATTAATAGCGTCACAAAGAATTAAAAAGAAAAAAAAATTCTTTAAACAATGGGAGAGCCAGTAATCGTGAGTGTTAGTGGGTTATCCGCACACAGCCCGGGCTGCGCGTAGTTACGAAGTACAGGGTCCACATAATCGATACTCTAGTACTTCGAATGTCTCCGCGGACAGATACGAAGGCGAGAACGAGAAAGATAGAAATGAGAAACGGGATGAAAAACGAGACAGGAAACATGGCGTGCCCGCTGCTCTATTTAATAGCCGAACGGATGGAAAGTCATTGGCACGAACGACTGCGACGTTAACGAGTTTCATCTTTTACGATTTGCTCGTAGTTTTAATTGTTCTCTCTGTCTTTATGCTATCGCGCTCACCCGCGCCTCTCTCGCGACAATAAATCTTTTGTAGTACATTTTCCGCTATACTGCACGATTTAATCGGCAGCTATAGTTATGGGCCAACGATTTTATCCATTCATTTTTTTACAATACGATACAGTACAACATGGTGCAATTTAATTCGCAACTTTGCTCCAATTAGTAATTATTATTAACGAAATGTTGGTAAAAAAGATAATATTAATCTCATAATTTTTATAAATTATTTACAATTATTTACATATTTACAACCCAGACAACACAAAGTCCAACATTGGGATATGAAACGTCTAATTTTAGACTTCGTAAAAACATTTGATTTTAGTTGTCTGAGAGTCATTTTACAACACGATACGATACAATTAATTTGGCCACTTTGTCTCGATTAGTAATTTATCATCTCTCCATCTGTAATCTGAATCTTTTTAACACAAACGAGAAATTTTACCCTAAAGTTTCTCCGAAAATAAAGGAGAGCGAAATCCGATTCTCTTTATTGTCAGTTATACAAACTTCCTTATTGTCAAGTTATACGTTTGTAAATAAATTTTATTTTTTCTCACTTCTGCTTAAATTTCAATTTTTATTAAATAAAGATTTTATCACTTAAGCGAAAAGATGCAGATTTAGACGCGAAAGAATATTCAAAATATTTGTAAGAAAAAGAGAGAATATTTTTTCACTCATAACTTTTGTGAATATTACTAAGATATTTTCAGCTAAAAACTGCAACACCTTTATGAAATAAACTCTTTTAAGATTCTGCTACGTGGGATAGGGCATGTGTGTCGTAAATTTCAAAGTGCCAAGGCGATAATATGAACACATACACGCTGGAATCTCATACATTATTCAGCGAAAAGCAGAAAAGTAAGAGAAGACACGATATAAAGGGACGCGTGGAACCTCGGAAAATAGAGTTGCGTTCGAAATAATCGTATTATAATTATTTACGGAATTTCGGATTTCGGAATTGTTATCGGAAAATCGGTAGCTGCATTTTTACGCAGGAAAAAGCAGGATCTTCTATTCGTATACAGTCGCGTGCGATCATAAGGTAACGAATCACATTTCCAGATTGTATTTGGATTCCACTGAAATTAGCGGTTTCAGCGAAATTAGATTAGCGGCTTCGACGAATTAAGTGAGAAATACCGTAACAGCTCTGCCGGGTGATGAGTTACAAGATTATAATCGTTAATTATAGTTGGACGAACGCAATCTCGATTTTGTAAGATTAAATGTTTTATCAAGATCTATGGGAAAGATATTTACTCCGATAAATTCATGATTTAAGGCATTAATGAGTTTATCGGAGTGTGAACAAGTGATTCGAATGAGAGAGAATACCATAATGGTTAATCTTCTTTATATATACTTTATAGAAAAAAATATTACATTAG